TGTTATTTACTTGATTTTCAATCATGAAACTGTGTTCTAATTCTTATCATATGTGGCAAATTTTTTTTCTCTATTTTGATTCCTCACTATAGAAGCTGCTTGTAAAAAGCTATGAAGGAAGGGAATTTAGGTTGACGTCGTTGGATGTAAACAATCTTTTTGATCGTATCGATCCGAATAGCTCTGGATTCGTCGCACTTCACCAGTTTCTTAAAGAATTTAAAAACCAGAAGAGGCTGAGCCAGGAAGTGAATTTTATTAGCGAAACTTTTGTTCCTGCTGTCAATTTGTTCGAGTCGATAGATCCGGGTTTTTCAGGGTAAATAATTCAATCACCGTTTTTCGTTTTTTATTTTATTTCCAATTTGTTCTTCTCTTGTCAGTTTCTAAAAGTGAGCTGCATTTTTATGTTGTCATAGGGATTGTTTGATTTTAACTTTCTCTTTTTTCCCGTATTAATTTTCCTTATTATATTTAGTATCATTGATAGCCATGATCTATTGGAACATTGGGCCACTTGTGGTATTAGCACAGAACAGGGAATTATGGTGCTAAAGGTAAGCCTCAACTGCTCAATGCTTAGCGCTTTCAGAAATTCCTGAATTTTTACCTTTTTTTTTTTTTGCTGTAATTTTGTATCACTTTTTTAGCAAACCGGCCAACCTTATGAAGGAAAAATTGATGCTATTGCGCTGAGTGGAAGATTAGAAAAACAGCTCGGGGATCTAGCGGGCGGTTCTTCTGCTTCTGTGGTTGTACGAGTAGCACTTGTTTCACTTCATGCGTTTATAGATCATTTAAGGTCAGGGGAAAAAAGCTTTTGTGGCTACTTAATTATAACTACTATTATTATTTTTTCTTCATTTACTCTTGAAACTCTTCCCTTAATTCCTACACTTACTTAAGAGGTAACTTACAGTTTATATTTAGATGTCTAGTGAAAGAAGGAAGTTCACGAGCTGAGCATTTGTACAAACAGCTTCAAGTAGCAAATCAGCGGCGCAATATGCTGATTGAAGAATTAGAACAGAATCAGGTTTCCCTTGAACAAGGCTATGAATTACGACTGAAGTAATAACGCTTTTTATTTTGGGATAATTTTCTGTAACTGGTCTTTAAAATTTTTTAGAGGTCTTGATAAGTTTTGTTATCGGTTTTCAGGTCACTGGGTCTACAGGTGCTTAACTTAATTATTATTTCTAAAAATCTTTTAGTTATTCTTATAATTTAGGGAGTCAGAAGACCGGTATAAATCTAAAATTATTCAAATTGAAGACCGTTACCTCGCAGAGAAAAAGGACCTCATGAAAGAGCTAGAACAAGTAAAACATTTGGTTTATTCCCGGAAATGATTTTTTTCCCCCTGGTTTTTCTCCTTAACTAATTTGCTTAGAAGGAAGCTTTGGAAGCTTTTTATAAATTTACCTCTTGATATGCTTTTCATATATTACACAATGAAAAAAGTATTACATATGTAACTGCTAAGTTATTCAGTAAGTTCTTTAAAAAAAATTATCTAGCAAGGCCTCCGAATGTTTTAATTGATTGGGGCACAAATGACGGCAAAGTTTTACAGTGATTTATAAAATAATTTTGCTACATTTATCTTATCTTGTTGTACAATTTTTAGGCTGAAGAAGAACTTTCTCGCTTTCGCCAAACAGAATGCTCATCACGTAATCGATTACAGTTGCTGGAAAGGCAATGTGCGCGATTAAAAGAAGAAGCAACAGAAATGGCAAGCACTGTGCACCAACTGGAGCAGTTAAACAGACAGCTGAAACAAGAGTTAAACAAGATGATACAGCCGCGAGCAAACGACGATGGCAGTTCTACAGTTATGTGGCGTCATCGTGTAGAATTGCTTTTAACTCATAATAAGGTATCTTTATTACTTCATTTTACTTTGTTGCCTTGTTTAAAATTGAACCGATTGTTAATTAATTGATTAGTTTTTTTATTTCTGTTGTTAAAACAAACCAGTTTCAAGTCTCATCTTGATTTGAGAGGCAGGTAGTGAATGTAGTTCATATTATCAAAGTTTTTGCTTTAAGAGACTGCGAGAGAAGATTGATGAGATGGCAAAAAACCAGAAAAAGAAACCTGTGACAGTCTCTTCAATGGAACCTCTTTGTACTCAGTGGACCAGCGCTTTTCGAGCACAATTGATGCTAATGCGAAAAAGGCATATGAACAGAACGAACAACGACACTCTTTCAGGTTCCTTTTTTTTTCTAACATCGAAGAGTTGGTATACTTCTTATATCCTTGAAGTGACCACGTTTTTATTTCTTTTATATTGGCTATTTAGTTATGTTCTGTATTGATGCTATTCTGCTGCTGTATTTTATGGCAATCAGATGTTATTCATATAATGATAACGGGAATAAAATAAAGTTACTAAAAATTACGATTTTAGACTTCACAATAATAGGAGTCGTACATATGTGTCTTTTTTGCTAAATTTAATTAATCATTTCCTTCATAACTTTAGATTTTGTACCTGAAATTTATGAAACATTAGAAGACTTTCTGGTGCTTAAATATGAATTGAAAGTGATGTCCATATCTGATGTGTTCAACGCTATTTAAAATTAATTTGTAATGGACTTTTTTGGTTGCAGCAATCTCCTCACTACACTTTTTTTTAATATCATTAATGGGTATGAATTTTTTAGAGATGGAGAGTGAGCCTGAAACCATTTTTGTTAGGGCTCGAAAGCGGCGGTTTTTGAATATTCGCGAACGGAGGCGGCGGTATGAACGAGTATGGAAACAAATCCTTAATCGTGAAATATTAAGTAATAATTTTTTCAAAATTTTTTAATTGGTAGCCGAAAACTAGGTTTGTTTATTTACAGGTGGCAGTTCAGATATTGAGGGGAAAAGCGGTTCTTTTCAAAAATCCCTGGATGTGCAGAAACTGAGAGCTTTGGTTGAGAAGACTAAGTTAGAGGAGATCAGGAAACTGAAAGAAGATCACCAGAAAGAAGTAGATGAACTGAAAGCGTCGGTTAATCAAGCAGTCAGTGAGGCTTTAGCTGTTCAGGCGAAACAGATGAACGAAAAGTTGGTTATAGGAAAAATGTTGTATTCAACAATGTTTTAACGTGATGGCTTGAATTTTTAAAGTAAAGTGTGCTTTTGGGATTTCTAGGGGGTTATACACTGTTTTTAGATGTATTACGGTGTGCTAGTAAATGGAGACTTAATTGTTATTCTGGTCATACTAAGCTTTGAGCGCTTTTTTATGAGTATTATTTTTGCTGAGGCCATTGTTTCTTTTAGGTTTGCAGAAGAAAGGAAACAGTTTAATGTAAGGTTGGAAAACGAAAGAAATGAATTAGAACGGAAATTCGCCAATGAAAAAATGAAATTGATCAACAGACTGCAGGTTTGCTTATATGCTTCCGCAAATCAGTGTTATATCATGATACTGCATGGTGCAATTTGTTGTAGTTTTGCACGTTACCTGTTTTTCATTCGGACTATCTATGCATGCTGTTTTGTACATAGGTAGTCGTTGTAGATCACTAGACGCGTAATCCTACAAGTTTTCAGGAGGAGTTTGATCATGAACTGAGTCGTATGAAACAGTACTCTTCTTCTGTTATTCCATCAACTGCTCGAAAGTACGAGCGTGAAATTGAGGTCTGGAATTCTGTTGAATGCTCAGTTTTTTTGGGAGGTAAATAACTGTTGTATTAGGGTTAAGTTCTACATTTTTCATTTTTAGCTGGCTTATTTGAATCGCTAGTTAAATTATAGTTATCGACTGGTTTCCATCGTGTGAATTTGAGGGGTGCGGATTTGTAGCGGTTCAAATTGTTGTTATCATAGAAGCATGTTTGGCTGCATGTTTTTAGGAGTCTGGCTTGCTTAATGCACTGCTGTGATTTAAATCATTTTTTAAGAATGGTGTTGCATCTAGCTGTTGTGTAGTTAGTGCTGGACAATTATTTTAAAGCAGTTTCTGTATAGCATATTCAAGACTTCATTGACATATTCTGTTTCTGTAGGTAACAGTTATTAAAGGACCATTTGCAGGCCTTGGAAGCAGACCTTCAAGCCCAGGAGAACAGTAGTGTTAGGAAGATAAAAGATCTGAAGGAAAAATTTGCTGGTCAGTTTGACACACTCTCATGTCTTCAAACCCCTGGTTCTTCGGCGAACTCTTTTTACCATATGCTTTATGAAATGAGGTATTTTCTTTTAATTACTTGGAGCTTGTGATTTAAGCAAGGTTGGGTATTTTTAGTTTGTGGTTTTGGTTCCTTACCTTTATTTCTATATTGTGCTTACCAATGACGGTTTTTTCAGTGCTGAGTTCGATGACTGTTTATCTGGTCGGTCTGATGTTAGTGGGTCGAAGAAAAATCAGACAAAGTCAACATCTTTTTTTCCGAAACGAAATGTACATCTATATATTATCTTAGTCCAGTTTACGGACCTTGTTTTGAGACAGTGATTTATTTTATTTTCCTTTTTGTCAGTGGCTGGATTGTTCGAATAAATGTGGGGTTTGCAGAAGTTCGATATTACGAAGTGTGGGCGATGCGAGCTGATTGATAATAAATTGAAGCTGCTTCAGTCGTCTTTTACATGCGACGGGAACATTACTGAAAGTGGGATTGAGGATTTGGGCTCAAGCGCTGACAGCTCTTTGGAGGTTGTAAAGTTTTGTAGCCTTTTACCAATGGTTGGTTTTTTTTGCGTTTACCAATTTTCTGGAACTTCTTATCCGACTCTTTCTTTCAGGAAAAAGCGAAACTGAAGGAGGAAAATAAAAAATTGAAATTGCGTTTGGAGTCATTCAAAGAAAAAATAATGGATTTGAGATCAGCGTTAGTTCTTCATAATGGAGAGCCCAACCGATACATTGGTATAATGGGTGGCAGTGAATGTTCAGACTTTCGGTTACCGCGGGATAGCTCACTGTTTTTAACGGACGGGAAGATTGGTGCTCACTGTCAATATTTTGCTGTGCTAGCAAATCAGCTGGAGGCTGAAAATGTTCTTTTGAATGCGCGTTTAATGGAATATAAAGAGCTAGTTAAATATTTGGTAATCAGGTGTAAGGAGCAGATGGATGAAATATCTAGACTGGGGAACCTCTTTCGGCAACTTGTTTATTTGGAATCTCAATCATCAGCTGCTGAAAGTGTTGATCCTCCTACGTGAAAATTTTTAAAGCAGCTAATCGGTTCTCGCATTCGAATAAGCGATGAAATGATTTAGAAAGTTTGATAGTAAGTGCTCGGGAGAGGGATGGGAGAAAAAAGAAATTGAGTTTAAGTAGTTAGATTATTGTTGTGATTGTTTACTGTGCTTCACTTTTTGACTTTTCGTTATCTTTTACTTCTCTTTTATTGCATAATAGTACTTGCAACTTTTAACGCCTTTACAGGGGGAAGGCCGTTCTCTTTTTGTTTTTAGAATTATTCTTTTGTCACTGCTTTAAGGTTGGATGCACTCTGTAGAACTATGATTGCTTTCGTTAGTTTTATTATCTTCGTAGGTCGCATTTCACTATTTTTAGATCCTATTCGTGATCGATTATAACTTATTTCTCTACTTTATAGATGACTGTCTTTCACTTCTGTACGATTCCATTTTGTATACCAACCTTTTTATTTCTTTGTTAAAAGGCTTTTTTGTCATTCTTGACTTGTCATTTTGCGGGGCAATGTTATGATAGGGTTTTAACTGATTTTTCTTTCTTTTCGACGTCGTGGTCACCTTTGATGTCAATAATTTGGTATTTTTTAGATTATTATGCTGCTTTTATGGGGCTCAACCTGGTTCTCAAATTTTTCTTGGTCTGCTTGTGGCATTTTAAATGCCTCATATGCTTTTGTGTAGAATACTACTTCAGGAGTTATGTATATATCAGCGTTACATAAGATGGGAACCAGGAAAGAAAGTGCTTAGTTTTATTGACCTTTTATAACTTTTGCTGCAACTCTTATTGCTTCTGTTTATCTCCATTTTGTTTTTGTTCTTCACTTTTGTGTTTGATTCTCTTTTTTTGATGGCATCTTATCGTGGATAACTGGCGTTTAGATATTCGCGTAAGTAACTTGACGAACTGGATTATGAAAGTTCAAGTGAACAGAGGCACATTGGTTCCGAAGCTTCTGTTCTCATATTTGAGCTTGAAGGTATGTAAATACAGTTTTTGTTGCAGAATAAGCTTTATTTATGGCTTCCCAGTCATTCATTCTGTTCTTTATTTCATTTAACGGGTGATTTTAATTTCGAGTGTAGCTTCTCTTTAAAATACTTTTTCCATTTTTTGTTTCTTATTTGCATTTTTTTCCCGGTTGTTTTTTGGTGGTTGAAGAAAAGTGGTGGTGTGCTAGTGTTTAAAATCTACTACCGCGATGTGTTACTTTGTGCAGATGTTGTTACAGTGTCTGCATTTGTTGCTACTGTTTTTCTCTTTTTCTTTTTACAAAAGATCATTCCGCTGTAAGCTTATGGTCAGTTTTGTCCTTTTAAATTCTTTTTTCCTTTTCGTCAATTGATGATGACTTGTCACTGATTATCATTTTGTTGTGTTTTTCTCATCCACTGTACAGCTTTATTTGGAAGACGTTGTATTTATTTTTTGTCTTCAAACGTTTGTGTTGTGCTTTGAAGTATTATTACTG